CTGATGAGCCATTTTGCATTGGTGTATATGGAGCTGAATATGGCAGCTCTATACCTTTTGAAGTAGACCACCTTTTAAAATTCACCACCATTATCGATTCTAATTTTTTTGTTCTTTTATAGTGTTGAGTTCTAATCAACTTTATAAAATCTTAATATTGTCTTCTCCTTCTTCTTTAATTCTTAATAATCTTACTACAACGAAATTGTGAAAAATATTCAGGATATATTGCCTTCAGTGATTTAATTAACATGTTCTCTATTTTGTAAAATTTTTCTTAACTTGGTATAGTATTCTCTACCTCTATGACTTCTTTCTCTCTCATAACTTCTCTTGGATTGTTTAACTTCTCATTATTATTTGGACATTCAACATTTATGACCTGGTTTTTGCAGCCAAAACATACTAAAGTGTGAGCAGTTTTAAAGGATACTTCATGATTTTGCACTCTTGTCTTTGTCTTTTTCATCTCTAAGATTACTTAACATTAACTCCTCATCCAACAATCTACAAATTCAATAGTCAACTTGTCGGGAGATACTGCTTTTATCGCTGTAATTACGGCATTGTACTTTGTATTCAGAGTTAGTAAAAGATGTACTATTTTATCGTTTTCATCTAGTTTTGAGTCAGCTTGTTCTAATTCTCTCACTATTTTATAGAACTTCAAAAAATATTCTTTTCGTTAGTGGTACATTTCAATGACAATAACTTCTTTAGATATAGTTTCGTAAATATAGTTTTTCTTTCAAATAATCCACTAAGCGTTTTCATCATATCTTTAGCTGTCCTCGAATCTTTCACTAGATCTAAATGTTTGTCTGATAAGCACTGTATTATTATTGACTTAGCTTTAACATCATTCTGTTGAAAGGCATTCTTTTCCTTATCATCTTTACAATCTGCTTCATTTTTCATACGCACTCCTTTCACTTGCCTTTCATCCAATAATACTTCAACTCTAAATTTCCAATTTCCAAATTACCGGCTTCTAACTAAGCAAAACGAAGTGACCTTGCAATTTAGTTCTTATTTTCAGTGACTTTCGATAAAACATATTATTTCGCAGCTTCTATTTGTAACAGAAATGGACCCATAACCTTTCTTGGGTTTTAAGCGAAAGATTGGAATGGTTTTAATAGTTTACTAAATTGCACGTTTCTACATAACAACTACGTACCAATTTTTTTATATATATTTGTACATTCTGAGAACTTCATAATACTAATCATAACTCGATAAAACTAAAAGTAATTATAACAGTAACGCCAACCTAACCTTTCTACAAGGTACAATTTTTTTTGTGTTAAATATCTAAATGGATTTTATTTTTTGAAAACATTCTGAGATAAGAAGTTGATATGAAGGTACGCATGTAGTAATAATCGTAATAATATTTATTAATAAAAAATGGTAATGAGTGCAGTAGTGATAATAAAATATTAACTCATGTCAGGTTGTCATATTTAGTATGGTAAGTAAATATTAAATATGTTTATTTATTTATAAAGGTTTTACTATTTTACAATATTAATGTGAAAATTCATTTTACACTTTTTACCAACTATAAACTACCTACTTCAGATTAATGAGGAAACATTTGTTGCTGTTGTCACACCCTCGCCAGGAATCGAATTTTCCCTTATAAACATTAGGTAGATTATAGTGGGTAAAAAGTTTGAAATGAATTTTCAAATTAATGTAGGATTTCAATTAATATAATAAACAGTTTTTGCTTGCCCAGGTGCAAGAATGATACCAGTTAGGTGGTGGAAAATCGATAATCTATTTTTATCTATGCGTGCATGTTGGGGGTACGTGAGTGACCACCGCAGACCGCAGTAGAGTGAAAGATGAGCAAGGTATTAAGACTTTAAGACGGTATATTTCATTTAGACGCTGAGCTTTCCTGTCAAAACAAAGACGGAAGACGTATTTTGGTTATTTGTTAAGACGTGTACATTTGGAATCCGCGATAAGTTGTATATATTTAGTTCCTGTTACTCGTTTTGCTGTTCGTTGTTCTTTTTCTTCATTATTAGTATTATTATATTTGTCCAGTCACCCGGAGCCTTTTATTAAACAACCCCTAGACCAGAGAAAAAACCCTACATTTTTGGAGCCTCGTCCGGGATGTGAGGAAAATTGAAGAGAAACGTGATGACGACTGGATTACCTACCATTTTGTGACCAGACTACCATTTTATCATGTACGATGTCAAGGTTGTGCCATTATGCTTTCTTATTAAAGTGAGATGTAAAATTTTAATGACATGAAGGTAGGATGCATGTTTATTAATAGAATTTAAGGAATTTAAGAAGCAGACGACCAAATTTGAAGTTTATTTCAAGTCTGGTTATAGTGAATATTGTTTGGACCACTTTTTCATAAATAAAGTTATTTTTTCTATTGACGTTTAAATAAAATTCACTGTGTTGAATTTGCATAATTAATTACCAGTGACATTATTATCTGTGCACCCATTTAATAACGCTTTAAGTGATTTTAATAGAATATTATAGAATATTCCGTAAACGTTACAGATTATTTGATCATTTTATTTTTCGTTCATTTATTTGATTTTATCTTATTTAGTTATTAGAGTAAGATAACATTTCTTGTAAAAGCTTGATGTACCAATACCATATTAGTTTGTAAATTGAGTTGTGTATAAATTTATTGTACCGCCCAAAATATGTCTTTCCTAAGTGATTTCGAGAAATCAATTATAACGTATCTCACAGTCATTTAAAGGCAGTTAAGGCTTTACATTTAGTAACATATAGACAGGAAGCTCCACCATGTATGACTCGCAAGCAGTTACGTGAGTCTTCTGGATTTCAATTGAGTATAAATTACATTAAAACGAACATAAATGTCCCTGATTTGGTTTCTATATGTCACATATTAAATTTAAATTACCAAGGATCTCCTGATAGTTTAGCGATTTGTATTTGTTCCTTTTTAAACAATTTACAAATAGACGAAATGGACGATACCGACAAATAGCAACAAGAGGAGGAGAATGACGAGGAAAAGGAAGATGACAGACCAGACGAATATGACGAGGAAAAAGAAAAATTAGTAAAATATAATAGAAAAAGAAGCGATTCTTTTGCAGATACATTTAGAGATATAGAGGATAGTATTAGACCCTTCGATGGTAAGTCTGATTACCCTATCGGCAAATGGATACAAGATTTCGAGGAAATCGCAGAAGTGACACAATGGAATGACCTTCAGAAATTAATTTTTGCAAAGAAATCGTTGAAAGGGTTAGCCAAGCTATTCATACAATCTGAAAAAGGGGTTAAATCATAGTCCGTGTTAAAGAAGAAATTAATTTCAGAATTCAAAGTAAAAATAAGTACTACACAAGTTCACAAATTACTTATGTCGCGAATAAAGAGACGAGAGGAATCGTTACAGGAATATGTTCTAATTATGCGTTAAATAAGGTAGCCGAGCAAAAAAATAAAATAATGTTATAATGCAATGCATCATTGATGGTATCACAGATGACTATAAATAAAGCTATTTTGTATGAGGCGAGAAACTTTCCCGATTTTAAAGAAAAAATTAAAATTTAGGAGCAGATAAAATCTGGAAGATTTAATGCAAAAAAATAATGACAACAAACGAAAAGATGGAAAGGGAAGGGGAACTCCTTTTCAGCAAAACCAATAGTATGTTACAATTGTGGAGCTAAAAGACATAAATCCAGTGCTTGTCCGGACAAGACTAAAGGGACAAATTGTTTTAGCTGTAATGAATTTGGTCATGTAGGAACAAAATATCCCAAGAGAAAAGACTTGAATAATTTAGTAAGCACTATAGAAGTAGTACCAAAAAACGCAGAGCACGTGTGAGTTACCACTCGAGTCGAAGACAGAGATACGTATACTATTTTTTATTATATTTGTGTGAACAACTTGCAATAAAATTGATAATTATAACACTATAAGCACAAGAATTCATCATGCATCAGACGGTTGACTTTTGCGCATGCTCATTCAATTTCAGCACATGCGTTTAATGATCGGTTTCATTTCGTTCCAGCTTAAAACTAGTCTAAAAATCGGACTTTTCATCCCAGTTTTGTGATACGAAAAGCGAGTTTTTCACGCACGTATGACAAAGATTTATTTAACGTATTACATTCTATAAGAGATGTGAGTTGAGTCATAGTTGAGTTCATGCAATAAAACTGGTGTCGGATATTTTCGGCTTTTGAGGCCGCATACCAAGTTACATAATACCGGTTTTTGAGACTGCATACCAAAATATTTATGAAGATCGCGTAAAAACGAACAAAAAAAAAAGAAATTTGCACACATGAGGAAATTTTCTCCCCTGTCACACACTTCAAATACGTAAGCCCCATCCGCCTGGCCGAATAATATAGTGTAGGCAATTTTTTTATGAAAAGGTATGAAATTACTTTTCCTATACGCTAAAAATTAGCAATCAATAATAATAACAATAAAATTTGGTGGGTTTGTCATAACCCAGCCTTCAAGAGGTGCACAACCTTAAAACAGTACACAACCCCTAAAAAGGAACGTACACTCCCAATCCTTTCCAGTTGAAAATCCTTTTAAATAGGTACTTTAATACCTTGAGAGGAGCTTAACAAAAATTTCTGTCCCACTTATGGATAACCTAAATTAAATTGGCAAATTCCAAAAATATATGGTTATTAAATATTAATCATAAGTATATAAATATGGAATATTGGTTTTTCTGATACCGAAGGAGGATTCGAATCCGAATCCCCCTCCTGCAGTGAAGAAAATATTGTTCAGGCAATGAAACTTGTAAAAACTTACAGGTATATCGGATGCAGCGTAATCCGAACTTTACGTATATACTAGAAGTCACCCAAAACCCTTTTGAAGTCGCGTACAAGAAATACGAAGTCATTTGTACGTCATCGATTTTTCGAACTTCAGCGAAAAAACACAATTATCTTTTTATTATATCAAACAATCTAACAAGATTAAATACAAGGAAATATATTTTTCAATATTTTAACAAAAACTTGCAGGCACAAAATTCGCGAGACTAAAATATGCATGCAAATAGACAGTATTCAATCTAAATAAAGAACCGTAGTAACAAAAAGGAGATTCTTAATTACTGTCTTGATTCATGAGGTGCAGGTAACTTTTCATAATTTGGTTGAACATCCCAAATGTCTTTTCCGTATTCGATAATTGTACGATCACTTGAAAATTTACCTGAGGACGCAATATTATGGATGGCCATTTCAGTCCATTTAGACTGTTTCTGAAATAAAGAAACAAGAATACAATTAAGCGAAAGATCCAACGAAAATGAATTGAATAGTATAGTATACTACCTCATATACTGCATTTACTTCTTCTTGTTTTTTAATATACGACTCATAATCAGCAAGAGTAAGAAATCTGTCATATTTAAGCAAAATGTCCGCAAGATCTCTAAATTCGTCTGGATTTTTTGGACTAAAGAAACCGTTTTGTATTTGATCTATCACTTGTTTTAATTCGGGATTACTATTGTAGTAATCATATGCGTTGTAGCCTTTTCTTTTCAAGTTCTCAACTTCGTCAACGGTCATTCCAAATATAAATATATTTTCGTTTCCCATTTCTTCTGCCATTTCAACGTTGGCACCGTCTAATGTGCCGATAGTGAGGGATCCGTTTAGCATAAATTTCATGTTACCGGTACCGGAAGCCTCAGTTCCTGCCGTGGAAATTTGTTCACTTAAATCTGCCGCTGGAATAATTTTTTCTGCAAGCGTTACTCGGTAATTTTCGAGGTAAATTATTTTTAATTTATCTCCCACTATTGGATCGTTGTTTACAACGTTTCCGACGTAGTTTATGAGTTTGATTATTTTCTTTGCAGCGTAGTAACCTGGCGCTGCTTTCCCTCCAATCATCACAGTTCGAGGTGTGAATTTTGCAGTCGGATTTTTTTTAATTCTATTATACAAAGTTATTATGTGTAAACAGTTAAGAAGTTGCCTTTTGTACTCGTGGATTCGCTTAACATGGATGTCAAAGAGAGATGCGGGATTGACTCTGACTCCATAGTCTTTTTCTAGAAGTTGTGCTAATCTTAGTTTATTTTCCTGCTTTACTTTTGACACCTCCTTTTGAAAAATAGGATCTTTTGCAAACTTCTTCAGGTTTTGAAGTTGATCCAAGTGAACTATCCAGTCTTCGCCAATTTTGTCGGATATTAAATCCGCTAAACCAGGATTACATAACAATAACCATCTTCGTGGTGTAATCCCGTTAGTTTTGTTTTGAAATTTTTCTGGCATGAGCTCGTAAAAATCTCGAAAGCTAAAAGAAAACAGATATTTATAAATACAAATAGCCAAATACGTTGAAATAATCACATTTCAGTTTTAATGATGTCTGAGTGTATTTGGGCTACGCCATTTACAGCATGAGATCCTACAATGGATAAATGAGCCATATTTATCCTTTTTTCGCCATCTTCTTCAACCAGTGACATTCTTCGTAATCTGTCCATATCACCTGGCCATTTTTTTTCAACTTCCTTTAAATGTAAAAGGTTAATATGATAAATTATTTGTAAATGTCTTGGTAGTATGTATTCGAGCATTGAACATGGCCACCTTTCTAAAGCTTCGGGGAGGACAGTATGATTAGTATAAGCACAGGTGTTGACTGTGATTTCCCAAGCTTTTTCCCACGATAAACCTTCAACGTCCACCAGCAGTCTCATGAGTTCAGGTATAGCAAGAGATGGATGGGTATCATTGAGTTGAATAGCAACTTTTTTTGGAAATAGATCGAATGTTTTTCTTATGGCCTCTCTAGAACCGAATTTAGCTGCTTTGAACCTACGAATGATATCTTGCAGAGAAGCAGCGCACAAGAAATATTCTTGCTTTAATCTAAGCTCCTTTCCTTCGAAGATGTTGTCGTTTGGATATAGAACTTTCGAAATATTTTCAGCTAAATTTCTATCAAGAACCGCTTGGATATAATCTCCATCATTAACTAACCAAAAAAATAAAATACATCGTTAGAAATGAATTACATATTCATATTCCTACATATAACTTACAAAACTTGAGATTGAATTCTACTGGAGATTTAGCTGACCATAGCCTTAAGGTGTTGACCACGTTATTTTGGTAACCGGGAATAGGGTTATCATAAGGCAAAGCAAATACAACCTGGGTGTTTACCCATTTCTTCCCTTGTGGAGTATCTTCGACATGTCCAAAAAAGTTAATGGGCAACATATATTCAGGGCGTGCTTTTTCCCAAGGATTCCCGAATCTTAACCAATCATCAGGCTCTTCTTGTTGCTCACCATTTATAATTTTTTGAGCGAAAATACCATATTCGTAGCGAATTCCGTAACCATATGCAGCCATTCCCAGTGTTGCCATGGAATCTAAAAAGCAAGCTGCTAATCTACCTAATCCACCGTTTCCAAGACCTGCATCTTCTTCTATCTCTTCAAGCTCTTCTATATCAAGGCCTAACTGATACAACGCCTCATCACAGGCGCTTTGAATTCCAACGTTTATCATTGTATTAGTTAAGGATCGTCCCATATAAAACTCCAAAGACAAATAGTACACTCTCTAAAACAAATAACCATGTAATGATTACGAAAATAGAAAATATTTATTCATTATTTTTCCATACAGTCGGTTATTTGATATAATTTTACTATTATTATTCGATAACGCATTAAAATAAAAACTTAGGATTAGACAAAGGTCAGTGTTATCTAAAATAGCAGACGATATGACAACAACGTTATATATGACATAACATGATACCGATAAACCCTTTTAAAATTCTACATGCTATTTTATAAATGTCACGATGCAATGCATGTCGTATGAGAATAGTCTCGATCTTTTTAATTATAAAAGATTAAAATAATAACTATAGCCAGGCGTCAGCAACCTATGGCCCACAGATCATCGAGTAGACCACTTGATAATTTAAAGTGACCCGCTTGAATTCAGAAAATAAAATTTAACATATAAATATAAAAAAAATTAAATTAAAAAACATAAACATGAAACGAATACTTTGAAAATTAATATTTCCTTCAAATCGCTCAACCGAAAACGGGTCTCACTTCAAAAAAGCCGACGGCAATAAAACATATAGAAAAAAACGCGATATGCAATAACGTCCTGTCAATTCCAGAATGTCACAGAAAAATTTAAAAACTATAGCTACTTGAGAGCTGTATATACGACTTTGAGAATTTCTTTTACTGAATATATCAGCGAGGAAAAAACAGGAGGTCCATTCCAGTAATGTGGATAGGAGCAAAAGTGGGGAATTTAGTCATTTGTATCGCTGGAGACTATCCTGACAAGTTTTGGCAGTATTTTCGAATGTTTAGTGTTAACGTTTTATTTTATTTTACATGACGAATGTCATCAAATGCTATGGTCAGCTGTAAAACAAACCTTGGATAATATAAACGAACTTGCATTAAAATCACTAACAAGTTTTGCTTTAAAAATTTTTTCATTAATCTTTCAATTTAGCCGCATTGAACATTTTGCGAACTTTTTGGGCCATTTGACTAAAAAAAAAACATTTGAATATCGCCACGATTTTTTGCATATTTTGGCATTTTAATCAACTTTTTCATGTAACTTTTTTCGATGGGTACCGTATTTCACATGGCTACCATTTAAACGAAATCTTATATTCTATATTTTTGAAGATTCTGTATAAGAAATCAAATTTGGATAAGACAGACGATCTTGTATTATAATAAGAACAAGTTTAGTTTGAAAAATTTTTCGATTAAACATATAGTTTTTGGGCTACCACGTATATACTATTAAACGTTTTTATTGGGCGCAGAAATCATTCCTTTGCAGTTATCTAAATTTGAAAAATGTAAATAGAACAACCAACCAACTCACAAAAATGAAGATTGAATTTTTTTCACGGTTCACCTCGCCTACGGTAGCAAAATATAATGAGACTACCGATCTTCTCAGAAATTGATGTATTTGTAATGCAAGCAGATATAAAAAGTAGGGCCCATCTAGTTTCTAGTGTCTAGTACAGGCAATATGGGTGGGTGAGTGGGAAAAATCATTCGGATTAAATTTTTTTACGTAATTTTGTTCGGAAGATTCTCCTGAATACAACGATGTACCTAGGTTGTCAGCCGGTAACCCGGTCAAGTATTGTTTAAATCACGATTGTTTAAACAAATAGCAAAAAATAATTTTTTTGACCGGAATATTTTTTCTTTGGTTTAATCTCGATAAAAAAGGGCTGATTATTAAGTTATTAAAGAATATGTTTTTTTTTAGAAACTAATATATACATATAAGAACAAAGGCTTTCACGGCCGGAATCCATAGTAGAATGCAGATTCGGGCTATAGGGCCGTGGTCTATGTCTAACCCAGTCGCTGTCGAGACATCGAGATACAATCTACGTTCACGTTGTCAACGCAGCACTACCACCGAAGATGTCAGCCGCAGTAGCTGACGAAACGTCTGGACGGAATCGTTCACTTAGACCACGGCCCTATAGCCCGAATCTGCATTCTACTAACAAGGATTCTCTTATAATATTTTCGAACTATACCGATATTAAAAAGATTAGGGAGCTGACATTTTCTTATCAAATGAAAGCTACAAACAAGGAAAACGTGTTACCTGGTTAGTTGATAGCCTACATGCACTTTAAACGTGNTATTTACCATCTTCCTCATAGTAGGGAAATACTTATTTCTCTCACATTTTCATGTTAACCCAGCGGTATGTTATTTTTTATGAAATTAAATAATAAATGTATAGGGCCACCAAGCGTGCCTTTGAATAATTAAAACAGAAAACCTTTTAATGGAAAAAAAGAAAAATTTCCTGGTGAAATTTATTAAATATAGTATATTAAATATACATAAAATATTAGCTTCTACAATACCATATCTTCACTATCTGATGCATAGAAAATAGCGATTTTCATGTACATTTACTTTCGAAAATTCAAATTCGGAAAATATTAACTTTACAAAGAAATCAGACCTTTTTTATAGAGATTAAACCAAATAATATAAAGAAATCGTTCCGGTCAAAAAAGTTTCTATTTGCCATTTGTTTAAACAATCATGATTTAAGTTTATTTCAGGTCTATATGGTCATGCCAACTTTAGAGACATCAAAATTTCTACAAAATCGGAGGTGCAGATTTACTTACTTTTTTTCTCAAATCTCGAAACTATGAAAAGCAATGGTTACCACGCTTTTCACCTGTAGTAAAAAAAAATGTTGCCGACGCCTAATAAGCTACAGAAATTAACCATAAATTGACATAGGTACTTTTATTTCTATAAAAAATGTATTTTAGAACAATGTCGTTTGCTTTGAAAATAAAGTTTTTTCCGACACTTTTCCCGGGAGACATGTTTTATGTGAATTCGATTTTACCCTCTGCTTTACACTTGATAGGCTTAAATGACCAAATACTTTATCTATCTAAAAGAACGTACTGTAAGGAAATTAACTTATACCGAAACATCGTAATATTACAAATATATCAAAGCAATAAAAAAAACATAAAAATTTAAATAAAGCCATTGAAAAGCATATCTCATTAAATAAGTACGTATATTAAGTATATGCAAGAAAATAAATTCATTTTACTTCATATATGTTATTGTTTTTATAATAATACCTAATTTATAATAGAACTTCCGCAATTCCAATGTATGTAGCTATTTGGTTTCCTTACTTCTAAAGAATTTGAGTAAAATATTATTTAATATAATAATAAATAATAAT